GCTACTACATCACCGCGCTACGCCTCTGCTTTATTTTGAGCAGGTTTACGTCAGTACTAAGAGAACTGTGTGGGAGATGTAGCCCTCTCAAGCGCTAATTGGACACTGTCATTAGCTCATGTACATAAGGCTTCACAGAAGGTGACCATGAAAGTGAACAAAATATATAAAAAGAGGTAAAGAGATATCAAAGGTAGCTGCTTTGCCAAAAATCAGCAGCGAGGTTCATTCTGAAAAAGCAAGTGTATGCTAGAGAACTAGAAAATGGCAAATAAGCCTGTGGATAATACGTTTTGTGGATTAGTGGAAAAGAATTTGCATGTTGAAGAAAAGCCTTTGCACAGCAAGTGTAGAGTGCTCTGTAGGATGTAAACAGACATGCTTCCTTGTCAATGATCAAGACTTCATAAGCAGAACCTCAGAGGATTCAGAAGAAGTTACAAACCTCTGGTAAACCTCACAAACAGAGAGGTCACCTGCAGTTCACAAAAACACAAAAATAAAGCAGTAAAGTTTTGGAACCAAGTCCTATGGATGGAAATGATGGAGGAAAAAAGAAACAGCTCATGACCCAAAGCCATCAAAACTCACTGCATGACATACCATCCTTCAGCTGGACAGCAATCTTTTCAGATTGAGCTTTTCAGGGTGAGGAGGTGGAATATCCTGAGCGGAGATCAGTCACCTTATCTCAGTCTGACCGAGCTGCATTCCACTAGCTGCAGACCAGACGAAAGTCTGAGAGATTCCACAACAAGCAGGAGCTGAAGGTCTGAGAGAGCATCACCAGGGAAGAGAGAAGCATCTGCTGATGTCTGTGGGTCAAACACTTCAGGCAGTCGTTGACAGCAATAGTCTACCACAAAACATCTTTGAGTTCAAAACTGTGTTTTAGGGGGCTTGTCTCTCCCACACAGGTCCTTCTGTACTGATGTAAACCTTCTCAAACTAGAGCTCAGACTTGGCACTTCAATGTAGGATCTATGACTTTATTTGAAAGTGAATGTGCTGAAACACAGAGCCTGGAGAACATAAAATATGTAAGTGTCCAAATACTTACGGTCTGAACTGTAGGAGGAAAAAAAAAAGGCAGGTTTCTATCGCTTCAGGAGAGGATAGAAGAGCAGCAGACAACACAGACACACTATGAACACATGCTGTTCATCTTTCTGAGAGATTTAGATGAAGACAAGATTTAGTCAAATTCACACATTTTTATAAGACAGGACAAAATGGAAAAGGAGATCGTCTGATTGTTTGAAGACATTTTCTTAAGAGAGTCACATTAATACAAAGATCTATCATGGAATACCAGTATTTTATATACTGCAGTTGTTATACCACATTTTTATATTCTGTAACATGTGTACATGGTAATATGCCAACTTTGCTTCAAAAAGTGTTCAGTTAGTTCATCCAAGAAAAGAAAAAAAAAAAAAGGAAAACTTTTTTTAAACAATATTCAACTCACCATGAAAGGATTACAATACCCTGCAAATGCTCACGGTCTGTGTCATAATGTCTTTAAGCGTTTATCTTTACCACAAGAGAACACACAAAAACTCAATGCTTTGGGTAACTCGATGGATTTGATCCTGCCTTTCATATAAAATACTTGAAATAACTGAATGCTCATTAATGATTTACATAGTCCCAAGGGGAACAGAGACAACACTGTGATACTGTGAGAATTCATGTCAAGATAATAAGGAAGAGATGTGAAGAGTTCCACTCCAAAACGCTCGATATCCAGATACAACATGAAATAAAACCGTTGCCTGAGGTTTATTATTCAGTGTCTGAGAAATCTTCAGGATGTGAAAAATGATCTCATTTTGTCAACTGAGCACTTAATTATGAGCGATTCCTTAAAAGCAAGATCATCTTGGGTTTAGGGGTCGTTTTTTTTTTTTTTCAGTCACATTTTGGAACAAAACTCTTCATGTTTTCCAGTTCATTTAATACTGTAATTATCAAAACATACGCAATAATACCACACAATTAGATGGTCCACTTCAGTGATTATTATCTTTGATTAACACAAATATCTGCCTGCCTCTGCGGCTCATCCTCATGGTAACAGAAGAGGTTTTTTTTATCAGAGCGACAGACAAGAGTAAAACCTTGTTCGTCATGTACAGCCGACGAAAAGAAATCAGGATAATGAAAAAGAACTGTTTTCATTTCAGGAGGGTTTCTTTTCACAGCATGTGAGGTGACAGGATCCTGATGGTAACAACCTAGATTGCTTTAAAGTAATAGCTCCACATTTTGGGGAAATGTGCTATTTTGCTTTCTTGCCAAGTTAGATGAGTAGATAGAGGTAGGAGTAGACCGAGGTAAGGCGCCCCCTTCAAGAACAATGTCCATTCTCTGTTAAAATACAGGTACTTTGTATACCAGTGTAGTATGGAAATATGCTTCAGTAAACACATTTAGAAGGTAAATAAATCATGACAGACTACTTCGTTATTATAAAGTTAAATGTAAAATCTTGTAAAGGGGCATCTGGGGAAGAAGACTTAAGATTCTCTACAAGATTTTATGATGAGTTTTGACCCCTTGACGGGAATTTAATCTGGCCAGTTATTTTGATCAATACAAATACTTGAGCATAACATGATCTATATTTTTCAAATGTTGATGCTGCTCCAACTTTAACAAGCACCATAAAGTTATTTTTAAATGATTTGTTTATTGCCAATTAATTTTCTTTAAAACGGTGCCACCAGGGTTGCTCAGTCATCACGAGTAAAGAATTCAAGCGAGGCAACGAGCTCATATTAACAACTATCCTAAAGTTCTTCCTAAATCCCAGCTACCCTAACTTTCAGTTAGCTAATGGATAACCCTTCACATCAGTCTCATATTAACGGTAAAAAAAAAAGCTTCATTTGTAGATCCTTATAAAACTAAATATTTTTGTGACATCTGCATACCTCAAACCATTTTCTTTTGACTTCCTCCCACCAGTTAAATTATTTGAATGCCAAAGAAGCAAAGCTGCGAGATGCTCATGCTTCCTACCCTGGTTTGCCCTAAATGCCTTGTCTCTGCACAGTTTTGTCAAGAGATATCCACGATCACGTTGTCGTTTGTCCCAGTAAGAATGACACTGTGGGTACCTGAAATGTTCTTTTTGACTAGAAAGAATTGAATTGTTGATATTTGCAATACATCTAGCCATCAAATGTTAAATCAGACATATCCGCAAGTCTTGAAAAGTTGCAAACTGTCTCGAAAAACACTGACTTTGATCATCGTTCTAAACAGCTGAAAATATGATAAAACAAAGTACTTACGGGTATTACTTTGCATTATGTTTGAAGAAAAAAAAGGTCCTACGTAAAAAATGTAAAATTTGCTCCAGGAAATGTGGCAGAAACCCTGCTTTATGGGAAACAGCATTTAGAACAAAAATACTAAATAAGTATGATATCTAAATAGTTTATAGTTTCCGGCCTATCAGAACAAATTCAAATTAAAGCATACAATCTAACATTCAGTAAGGTTGTGTTCCAAATCTGTAGTTATTTGTATTATTTTGACCATCAAAATGCTTCTGAATGAAGTTTACCAAGCTTAACTAGCTTTAGAGTGAGGCTAGCTGTTCCCGATGTTTCCGACTTTTATGCTAAGCTAAGCTAAGCTTACAATCTCCTGGACGTAGCTACATGTTTAGCATACAGATGTAAAAGCTCTATTGATCATAGCTCTCAGCAAGAAAGCCAATAATCACATTCCCCAAAATGTCAAAGTGTTCCTTCAACGTTTCTTTAAAGATTAGGCTGTGAAAGCGAAGTGCACGTCTGCGACTAACAAGTGATGAATATACTCTCAGCTACAAAAATGTTTTCTTTAGCAGTTTCACACCAAAAAGCTTGAATAAGACAAAGCATGTGTGTGTGTATGTGTTGGAGGGGTGTGGTGTGAGATACTTATCAACGCATTATTCTTGCCAGAAAAAGCAAATGAACTGGAAAGTGAACACGAGGTTTCATCACCTCTTTGGAAAGTGTTGTGTTGAACCATGGCTCTGAGTCATCCCCCATTCTCCAAAGTCTCTGTGATTCGGTGTCAGTGGGCTTTTCCAAGTGTGTTCACTGCCATTCACCTTCACCACAAAAGACGACTTAACCAGCACTGACACGGGTAATTCCCAAGAGAAATCTCCTCTGGAATAGGATGAAAACAAATACCATAGCTTTATACTTTAGCCACCCAGATCACAGTCAGAAGAGGAACCAAAGTAACATCCGAAAAAATAAGTTAACATAATTCTGACACATAGAATTTTACAATATGTACATTATTTTTAAATTAAAATAGATTTGTCGGTTGTCTGATTGGGTAGGTCCTCTACAGAGCGCTGCTTTTTTTTCCCCCCAACCATCCAGTGTTATTCCACAGAGGTCCCAACAAAAGCTCAGTTCCAGCCAATCAGAGTGCAAGTAAGGCTTCCATCGTCAAGTCCCTGCCAATAGTTTGCCGGTGGCATCTTCAGACAGGGCCGAGCCCTTAGCAACACACATGGCAGACCCTTCAACACCTCGACAAAAAGAAATAAATATAAAATATATGTAATATTTCTATATATATTCATAAAACCAAACCCAGGATAGATTTGAACTCTGATGTGTTCTCTCCATAATATAATCAAACTGTGGCCATTTTTCCTATTGCCAGTCCATATCCCTTTCAGTCTCCATTTTTGTGTATTTTTGCAGTTTTTCGAGGGAAAAAAAGTCTTCTTCAAACCTGTACATCTTATACGCAAGTAAACAAAATGTAAAAGTGCGTGTTTTTTTGAATACGTTTTATCCACTATATCCAAAAGTGTTGCAGGCACTTAAGTCCTTCCCAAACAATGCAGGTGTTTTTCGACAGTGGAGCAGGTTGGTTTGGTTATTCCTGGATTCGTGTGGGTCGTTCTGTATGTATGTCTCTGTCGATCTGTCGATCTGTCCGTCTGGCGAGGAACGGGCCGCCCCAGGCTGCTGCTAGCCCAGGATGTCCAGGTAGACCGGCGTGGCTTTTCCCATGGCGAACAGGACCTTCTGAATGTCCTTAATGTTCAGTCGCTGCTGCGGTTCCCTCTGCCAGCAGCCCAGCATGATGTCATACACCTCTTTAGGACAAATCCGTGGCCTCTCCAGAACCCGACCCTGGGTTATGCACTCAATAACCTGCAGAGGAGACAGGGCAGTGGAGTGAGACAGTCGATTCTCACTGACTGATTGCTTCGGTTTGTTCATAATGAGAAAGTGGTGACACTGAGCAGACTGTCCTTTGAGGTTTGAACTAATGAAAGTGAGATGAAAGAAATACACAGAACGCATTCAGTCCTAAATTTGTGCAATATTAAAGGGGAAACAAGATTTTTTTTCCTCCCAGTTCCACAGCACAAAATAACAATAATACTGAATATCTGTGGGGGTGGATGTTTGAGATGTTGCTTAAAGGCTGATTGATCATTTCTTTGTTGGGCTTGTGCACTAATTAGCCAGATGACTCACTGCAGTCATGACAATTTGACTTTATTATTTGTGTCAATGCCAGGCCACTGTAGCTTAACAGAATGGATAGGGGTCTATTTGTGTGTAATGACTGTGAGTGTACAGAGAAACCGCAATGAAAAAGTGTTGTTTTTTTTCTTGTTTACACTTCACATTTGTGCACCAATCAATACCAGCTCTAATAATATGGTCTTTTTTGAAGTTTTTCACTTTTTAAGGCTTAGCAAAATTACCAACACAGCTGAAGAGGGAAAACAGAAACTCTTCCCCCTAAGGCATATTATGGTGTCATGCAATTTCATGCTCTTGCAAGTTCGCAGCACAACAACAGTGTCAGAACAAAGGATTTGATAATCTACTGCTATCTGAAGCCTAATTTTCTGGAAAGAACGAACGACAAACTTGATCTGTGTTTAAATAAATATGATTTTGCTGTGGTTCATGCTCAAGTGTGTCGACAACAATACAAATTATTGGAACAAACCAGTGGGGAAACCCCTGTTCTATTGTTCTACCATCTGTTTTCTTTCCTTTGTACATTCTGTTCATCATGTCTTGTCACCAGAATACATGAAGAGGCCCGGCAGACAGGCCATCTTCAAGACTGACAGGATTGAGGATCACATGGAGGCTCTTTGCATAAATTTCCAGATCACAAGCTTTACAACAGGTCACCATGACTGACAGGGAATCCAGCTGATTTACAACCGTTTTTATTAGTTTTGCTGCATAGTGACATGACTTATATTTAGGGTCAGACAGATCTAACTCTCTGTCAGAGCTCCACAGTGAAATGTGTGTGCTTTGTAGATATCACTGCAAATATCATTATTTTTACTAATAGACAAGGGGAAGTGGAAACAAGGGCATGATTTGTCACCCCAGCTTTATGATCACAGTTGGATCTCTGTGATCACAGCACAAAACCCGACTCCAGTGTCCTCACTTAACAAGCAACTCGGGAGGACAGATAAGCAGCAGGACGCTCCGCTGCAGGCAGATGTACAAGACTGGGCGGGGATCAGCTGCCACGTAGAGCCCAGGCAGCAGGGGCAGCACTGAACAGTTAAGATGGACATGTAAAATCCTTGACCACAACTAGGACATTAAGTACAGTTTGCCCCCCTATTTTTTTCTCCAAAGCACCATTAAAGGATCTTTCCAGCTATTTTCAACTTAGTGTATTTCCCATTAATGTGGCTATTGCAGCTCTATGGGTCACTTTTAACCCTCCACCTCCCTTGTAGAAATTAGGGTAAACGAGGACAAAACAGCGCATATCAGAGCAACCAGCATGAGCTCTCTGCAAAAACCTCAGTTTTCTCTCATTAATCATTTTAAATGTTTGTTTTTTGTGTCTGACTGAAAGTTAGGTCAGCTGGCAAATACATCTGCGCGTCAGTTTGTTTACATGTATGAGGCTGTCGATGCTTTCCTGTTTACCACCTGTTTGTGTAGGAGAAGTGGTGCCAAACACGATATCCAACACATAAGAGGACTTTTTCCTTGTTGTAGCGGCTTTTACTGACTGTATGGAGAGCTGAGCGTTTGGTCTGGCCAGTCTTACTGGTTCCCTCCAGCTGATTTTTAGGAGGTGAAACACCACTCCCAGGACGACAATGTTTATCAAAGCCAAATTCATTAGTTGTAGCTCCGCAACTGGGAATGCTCTCATCAGTGGACACATGGAGGACTTCCAAGTCTGGCATCAACAGGTTCCACTCTTTTCAGTAACAGTTTTCCACCTCAGTCAGCAGCAGAGCAGTGAGTCTCACTCTCCCCTCTGGTCGCCTTCGCTCTGCATTATCCTCTGAGTCCTGTCTTCCATCTGAGCTAGCTCCTTGTCTGTAAACACCGGTTCAAAAATATAGCCGACCATCAAACTTAAACGATCTTCTATTGTCCTCATAATGGTCCGTGGTAAAAAATCTGCCATTGCATTACCTGCTGGATTTCCAGAACGTCAGCCTCACAGAATATATGCCTGCTGACTAATGCAGAGTGATTAGGTCAGCCAGCACGTATCCCCTGATAAGGAACCCTAATGCTTTTAGTAAAATGTCAGTCCCAGGCAGCTAATTTCTGTGTTTAAAAGTTTAAAATGATTCCTGTAAAAATCACTTTATTTGTTAAGCTGCAGGGAGCTTGCGTGAGTCATCCAGATATGTGCTGTTTGCACGCAGTTTTGTGCAACTCCTCATTTCCCAGAATCTCAACACTGGAGGGGGAGAGTGAAAAGTTAGCATGACACTTAGAGCCACAATAGCCACATTAACGGGAGATATTTTTAAAAAAATATCCGTCTATCTGTTTGGTTGAGAGTCTAAACAGTGTTTGGCAGTATGGAATGACCAGCCACAACTGGTTTTGTTCTGCTTTATTCCTACATAAAAGTGGATATAAGTTAGATTGTACTGTAACAGGAGTCTGGACTGATGGAGGCTGGCAGAAAACGCACACGCAGATTTTAGTGTACAGCCCCATAGAGGAGCGTGGTGGAGTCAAAAGAGCCCCGAAGAGAATGAGGTGTATTTGAAACAGGCTCCAACAGTATCCAGGTAATCATTTGTCACTGTCACTTTGTCACTTGTGCCCATTTATAATGGTTGCAGTAATGTATCATTGTGTAATGTGTTAAACACATCAGAATAAGTGAATAATAAATACTATATTCCAGGCTACACTACCTGAGGATAAAATTACATTTGAAAAACAGATTGAGGGTTTTTACTTTTTTGGCCGTGACATAATACAGCATGTCTTTACACTGTCATAAGATTCTGCCAGCGTAGTTTAATCAGTGTTTCATTTAGAGCCTCAAAATCCGTCTGCTCAAGATATGCAGAAATGTGGAAATCCCAATTTGTATGGAGCCCAAAAACGTATTGATGTTTCTATTGAAATACTTATAAGTGCAATGCATGCCACATGCCAGGTTATTCTTTTAGGTCAATTTCATTTTCTCAACATGCTCGCTTTACAAGAGTAATCCTAATTGAATTTTATTGATTCAAAGCACAGCCTCCAATGAAAAAACAAACCAATCATGGGTGTTATGTAATGTGGCATCTTGTCTGGTGGGAAAGCTGCATCAATTTATCACCTCGTTGGACTAACGTGCCTCTCAGAGAGAGTGAAGAAACAACATGAGGCAGTAGATTAAGATCCAAAATGGCAGTGTTCATTTAAATCTGCTATTCGAAAGCTCATTTTTTCACTCTCGCTGAAGCAAAGCAAAGTATTTCCCCCACCATCGATGCTCTGTCAAGGAAGTTTTTGATGTGTTGTGCAATAAACTGCCTTGCTTGATGTTTGGAAATGGAAAAGCAGACTTTCACATTTACCACTGAATGACCCGGAGCTATAATTTCTCAGTGTGTGCATGCAATCCTGCAGCACAGCCTTTGATAATATATATGTACTGTATCTTGTGGAGGTTTATCTACATGCTTCAGGCTGTTTGTACCTCATTGTTACCCAGCTGAAACCAAGGCTGCTTCCCATAGGTAAAGATCTCCCACAAGATGACTCCAAAGCTCCAGACGTCACTTTCCGTGGAGAACTTCCTATACATGATGCTCTCTGGAGGCATCCAGCGGATAGGTAGCATAGTATGACCTCCGACCTGAGAGGAGAGGACAAAGGAGGAGAGGGGAGGAGAGATTGTTATTGAAACACTGTAGCTAAAACACAGATTAGAAAATTCAGTCGTCAAACACAAGTCCCAGGTGTCTGGGGATTAACTGTCCTCGCATGTAACTGATACGCCAGGCTTAACATTTCATGAATGCTGTTGTGCTGCTGAATGTTGATGCAATTCCGAAAAACGCTGACTTATCTGCCACCTGCTCTGTATGTATCGAATCACTGGATGTGAAATTCTTTAGGTTATGGTATTAAAACCACCCCTTTGTTCTTGATGTGAAATAGCAATCTGCAGTCCCTTCTCTGCAGAAGTGCAGACATTAAGCTGAGGATCAAAATCTCAAAGCATGGAATTGAATGAGTTTTAATCAGTTTTTAAAAAAAATAAAAAATCAACCAAGAGGTTTAGAAAACTGCTGAATGCACACTTGTGGGTCCTTGTATTGAAGGCGTTCATATAGCTGCTAATGTAAATGTGAATTTTTAAATTATACACATCAACACATAGACCTCATGCATTCATGAGAAGGTTTACACGATGCAGGGTAACAGTTGAGGAAGAGGAGATAAAACCTCGAAACTCTTGAACATCTTCAAACCAGCAGAACATGAAATCAAACCTCCTCTTGCTGTAAATTCTCTGAGGATAGATATTAATCGATTAAACAATCTTCCATTAATCAACAACTTCCATTAGCAGGCATTGTTTTAAGATCTATTTCCCATTCATGTCAGTGGCTGTGGCTTTAATCATGGCGCTGTCGAGCTGGACAAGACCGATGTTGGAATGAGCAGTGAAGTATTGCGAGTTTCATCTCAGAAAAAACAAGGACAGTATCACAGTGATTACTGTGAGGTTCAGGAGTCCAATTATACCACTAACATCATGTTATTTGCATGTGATCTGATGTGAAGCCTGAGTGTGAAAGTACAACTGGTAGTTTGGAAAAGTTACTAAATATCTCAAAAAACATTTTTAACTCAAGGGTCCTTACTTACTTTTTCAATAGTTTTCAACTGTACAGCCGCATAACTGTCATTACATAACCCATGTGTGATACTCAGGTCATAAGCTGACTCTATGAGTAAAGAGACCGAGATGTGCAGCTAAAAGAATGAGTGGACATTGAGTGAAGTCTGTCTTTGCTTTTTTGTTAAGGCCAATGTGATGCTCAAAATGAATTTCCAAATTCATGAAATTTAATGGTGCGGTTCTTAAATTAACTGGCAATATTGACAGTAATGATTTAATAGGTTTGAATAAATACTTCATATAAAGTCAATAGTAAATATTTGTAAGCGACTTGTTGGTGTATAAGACATGAATCTTGTTCTAGTCCATGTACTACTCCTCCCGCATCACATTGCATTGTTGATACACTCCAATGTAACATCTACAATACTAATTGTATGGATTTTGTTGTCCTATCACTTCCTGCTGTCGTTTAGTTTGTGTTATCTGGCTCAGTTTTTGGCCTTTACTGCTGTTATCTTCAGAGTTTTGTCAAGATAAAAATAAGATGGATTTTTAAGCCCCTTTGAGGTTTTTATCTCTGAGTCAGTGGAAGTACTCCTGCAGCGTATCAGACACACGTCTATCATCCACCCATCATCAAAAGCACCCATCCATCCATGCATTCACTGATCCATGTAGCCATCCGTCCGTCCATGCATCCATCTAGCCTTCTGGGTTCCTTTTCGGTGCTTAAGGACAAACTGATAGCAAATCCGCAGTCAGACATACCATAAGGTCTTAAATCGTCACAGAGAAAACCTCTTAGCTCGTAGTCGCATTCACCCTCACATGGTTCCTCCGATCTATACCTCAGGGTTACAACACAATCAGATTCATTTAATCATAATAAGCTCTTCTCCCAACTCCATTTACCAGCTCCAACATCTGTGTGCCTTCAGCTGTGAGTGCCGCATGGCATTTTAAGTATCAAGAAAAAAAAAAATCAACTCAAGTCTTACTAATTACCTCCCAGTTCCGTGGCGCGCTCATTGCACATTTCCTTTGAAAGTCAAACACAATCTCCATGTGTCAGCTTGACGCAGCAGATGAATCTTCTGAATGTTTTTAAAGAAACATGAGATTTGTCAATCTGCCAAGAGGCTGCTCCTTCCAGGGCATTTATTCAGAACGTCCTCCAGTTTGTACACTTCATCAAATTTAGTTGCTGAGTTCGTTTGCCTTTACTTGTCCTTCATCTGTAACCTTCTCTTAAGTCCTGAGTTGGGTTGCACCAGCTATTCTTATTTTAATTACTGAGGTGACGTGTTTAGTCGATATCCTATTTTGACCTGGATGAGAACACACCTCCTCATCGTCAGACACACTGATGTTCTCACATGCTGACCATGTTAGTAACTAGCGAGGTGGCCGTGCACAGAGAAGCGTCTAGTCTCCACTCAGTTACTGCAGCTCGGCAACGCAGACGGATGTGTAACCAAAAATGACTTTGACAGAAAATGCCTTATTTCACTTGTTTCAGATGTATCCATTTGAAACCAAGTGATTTTATCAGACAGACTTGTTTTGTAGATTAGTCACAGCAAATGAAAACTGTGCGAGTTTACTTTTTGCATCAAGCAGCAAAAAAAAAGTAGCTTGATGTGTTTGAGTTAATTTTCCTTAATGCACATTGTGCTGTAGGATGACATGATTGTGCACATGTATGTTGCAATGTCAATGCTGAAATGATATATCAGGTCGTCCTAAACTTTATGATCTTACAGGGAAGAAAAACCTCAATGCTGTGTGTCTGGAAAAGACACAAAATACCTAGTTGGAGGTACTTTGTGCCATATTGGACCTTGGAGGTCCTCATTGCGGTTGTCGTGAGTGTCTTGGGTAGGCTGATATTTAGTGTGTAATGATTGTATATTGTCTTATGATATTGCAAAGCTGCATGACTTACAAATGACTTACATTTAGCCCAAATCATTATATATTGCAGCTCAACATTAAGTTTCATACATCAACACATATATGCTCCATGGTGTTTCAGCAAAACAATTGCAGGGCTCCATTTCTTTTCCATTTTTCCCCACACTAACCAATACATTTTTCGATCTGAACAACTTGTTCCATCATTCACCAAATGATGAGTTTCAAATGTGCCCAAGCACCTGACTTCAGAATGCTTATTATATCAAAACAAGTGGGCACATACTTCACAGGTAATTCAGAGTTTGAATTCCAATCTTTTATAATGAACTGTTGCGAAATGCAATTCTGTTGAATCTTTACTTCTTTTTTTATATTTTGAAAAATGTTTTTTGTCCATTGGTCTAAAAGTCTGGGAGTGTTTGCTGACCACGTGGTAATCCTGCTTCACATTAATACGTTTAGACACGATTTACACCTTCAGGACAGCCACAATCTTCTACTAATCCTACCAGGGGTTAAGTTCTCTCCTCAGCTGCATTTCTATACAGCAGTAAACTAAGAAGAATACACTTTTGTGTCATTTTCACTGAATCCTTGACTCACAATTCTGCTTCTTTATAACTTGCCCAAGGGCATCTCGGGCATTCAACAAAAATTCCGTTTAACTCCTAATTCAAATGTCTCCCTGCCAGCTCCCAGCCTAAACAAGTACGATCCCCCCACCACCCTGGAAAACAATGGAAGCTGTTGTTTTTCTTCAGTGGTTAAAATAGTAATTAAGATAAACATAAATCTGAGAGGTGTTCAAGATAAAGTGCCCTTTCTCTGCATCTTGAACAGTATTTATTGACATTCCCAGAGAGAATTTCGTGGCGGTGAGGACGGTTGCCAGTAGTTCTCCCTCGTGTACATCCTCACACTCATTTGCCAGGGTTTCACTGCAAGCTAATGGCCAAATGAATACTGACTCACACTCCACCTGCTCTCATTACACATGACACATTCTAGCATTGTACACAACATTAAGCCAATATTGATGCGGAGGACCAGTCGCCCCCGTTGTATGAAACCTCTGGGTCGGGCTAAGCTAGGTGGGCTGAGAATGAGGTGAAGGAGTTGGCGAGGGGCTGTATACCAATCCGTCCCCCTGTGGAGCTTTATAAAGATTAAACAAAATTAATTAAGTTCCCGTTAGTCTAAATGACTTATCTGAGGTCCACCCTGCCCATTGCATGCAAGGCTCAACCTCATCAGATGCATACTAATGATTCAACCGTTGTTGCAGAGGCAAGGGGCATTAAAACCGGCTGACTCGCTGCTTCCCAAATGATTGCATGCTATCACCTTGGGTTTTTGTGACAAGGCCATGGCAATTAGCTTGGAACATAGGGGAAAAGGGGAAGAAAAAGCTGAACACATAATAAAAATAAAATAATTGCCCCTGTAATTATCCTCATCTTTCTCACTCAATGTCACATCGAGAAGCTGGCAATGCTCTGCGGGGAGTGAGGAATGAGTCTGGGGCTTTTTTTTGTTGCTGTGTAAACTGGATTAGTGCTCTGCCTGTCCCACCGTGGCAGGGGAGTGATTGGATTAACGGCGTGGAGAGCACAGCAGCATGGCAGGGGGATAGATTACTGGCCCAGTCGGGCTCTTCGATGGGTGCTCTGCGGCCTGCAGGGAGCCCTGGGAGGCCCCAGACATCTTTAAGGGCCCCGATAACCATCTAGACACACTCTCTCTCCCTGCTCTAACCACGCTGCTATCTCTGCTCTCCCAGCTCAAACAGCAGCGAACACAAGTTCACTTTTAGAGGCTATGATGTCCATTAGGTTTCTACCTGCTGCGCTGCTGCCAAGTGGAGATAAAGCGGTATCTACTCTGGCCGCTGCATGCCGGTGGGTGGTGAAACTTTCTGAAGGTTTTCAAAACACACACATACACACACACAAACTGCACCATTCCTATCGTGCAATTTTACATTTTGCATTTTCTGTACATTTGCTCTGCAGGCTGATCGTACATTGAGTGGAGAAGAAGCTCCTCAGTGTAGCTGATGACTTCATGCTTGCTCTCTCACTATGAAA